TCTCTTCTCTTCTCTTCTCTTCTCTTCTCTTCTCTTCTTTTTGTGAAATGCTGGACATTTTGCTGCTGTTTCCTAGACCTGTGCAAGATTGGTAAATACTACCCTTCCCCAAAAAAGCTTTCCCACTCTCCTCTCTGATTTCCTCTTACTTAGTTCTTGCATGTGTTTTTGGTGTTTATGTATGCTCATTTCTATTTCTTTTTAATAAAATCTTTTCTGGTTGAACATCTGCCTGGTTTATTTGAGAGTTCTCTTATGGGGAAAATCCTGGTACATATAGGTGGAGAATCCCAGTTATCCCCTCTTGCTCTGTCTCCTTAAAGCTATTTCCCCCAACTAATCCCCTCAATCTATTTGGGTAACATTGGGTGTCACAAAAGGTGGAATAGCAGTAGGGTTGCCAACCTCCAGGTGAGGCCTGGATATAATATTGAATTACAACTGATCTCCAAACTACAGAGATAAGTTCTCCTGGAGAAAATGGTTGTTTTGGAGAGTTGACTGTATGGCATTATCCCCTCCCCAAACCCTGCTGTCACCAGGCTCCACCCCCCAAACCACCAGGAATTTTCTAACCCGGACTTCACAGCCCTAGATAGATGTATACCTCCCTGTCCTTGGTTTTAGTCCCATGGAAAATTTCGACTAATGGGACGGGGGAGCTCCAAGTTGCCCCTCATACTGTCAATGGGAGTAAGGCAACTGTAAAAAGATGAGCAGCAGATAATAAAATAGCAAACCCTGGGACAAGTAAGAAGTATGATCCAGCCATTACAAGACTGAATAAGTTTCAACCTGATGCCAAAATGATAAACAGGTCGGTGCCTGGCAGAACTGTCTGGGAAAGGCATTCTATAAGGCATCACTCCTAAGAAGGCCCAGACAAAAATACAACCTCTGAAGCAAATCTTTAAAAGTCAGAGAGATTCATAGGGGGAAGGCCAACCTTCAAATAAATTGATCACTTTGTCCCCTTTTCACATAAGCCCAGTACAGATATTGTCCTCCCCCTCCCCATGTTTGCTCACCATGCAGGGAGAGACAGAAGGCACAGGTGTTCTGGTCCTACTCCCCACTTCCATGAGAACAACAAGTGGTCTGCATGAGGCAAATGTGTGGAGGAAGTGCCCACTTGGCACCCTGTCCCTGGAATGAAAAAAATATTCCAAAATCAGCACTGGTGACTGATTATGTGTGTGTGTGTGGGGGGGGAAGGTCATCTTTACCAGGCTACATTTGTACCTCAATGTACCTCCCCTTTTTTGTAATCTCCCACAATTTTATTTTATTTTACATTTAGACTGTAAGTCCCTTAATGCAGGTACCTATATTTTGTTTAAAGTCCTCTTAATATGCTGTATTGTCTGAAAGGCTACATTGAGGAATTATTATTTTTTTTATTTTTAACCTGTAATCCTCTCCAGTATAGATTTGGTCATTAAAAAAAAAAAATTGAAATCCTTTCTCTGGATTCAGCCAGCATTTATCCAGTTACATATTTTTTTTCCCTTGAGAAATGGGGCCACCGGTTCCTAGTTTTATTGAAAGAAAGGAAGATTCATCTGAGTTTTTAAAACAATTATTGGAAGTGAGCCAAGAGCCCCAGCTCATTGTTGAAAATAGATTTGGAGGCCAGGGTTCAGCTGGGATGTAAAAGGCTCACTCAAAACTTAAAGGGGGGGGAGGTGTTAAGAGGCTTGAGCATACCAATCTTCTTGGTACATTTTGTATTTCTTAAGAAACCCCAGAAATGTGTGAGAAAATGGCAAAGTAAAACCAGAGGAGTGTGAAATGTAGAAGTGGTTGCTAAGTATTCTGTGGTTTGACTGGAGGTGCAGGATGTGAAACAGACATCAACACCAAGCTTGAAAACAGAGGTTAAACATGTAGTGTCGTTTCTTAGATACGCACTTCTTATATGCTGACTTTATACTGAGTGTGTTCCAGCCAATCTGATTTTATAGTTATTATATTCACAGATATTAATGAGCTATGGGATCCAAACTAGGTTGCCATCTGCCTGCTGGCACTCCAGTGGCCAGCAAGAGAAAGTAAACATTTTTAAAAAACGGCCATTAGTTGGATACAATCAGAGCATAAGAAGATTCACAAAAGTAAGACTAAATCTCAGGAAAGGCTTGTTGAGATTTGGCTTCCATTTATTAAATATTGGAATAGATACAAATCCAAGGAGCTGGCTAAAGAAGAAATTTTAAGGTATATTTGCTCAGTCAGTCTGATATTTGTAAATATTGTGCTAAGCAAGCTGTTTTATACGTAACAATTCCAATATTAGCTTCAACTTCTTTGTTCTAGTTGAATGTGATTGATGTGTATTTTGATTGTTTAGTCTCTTTTTTCTGCCTTGTAAGGATATCTACACATTATTATTAAACATGGTTATATGATGTAAATATGAGTTATAAAACAAATAAATATCTATTTTAAAAAGTTAAATGGCCATCAGTGATGGTGTGTTGTCACTTTCAGAGGAAAACCCGGAAGTGACATCAGTTCTCTCTACGATTTTACCACAGAGTTGCCACCAATTCTGAGAGAGGTGTGATGTCACATTGTCACTGATAGCTGCCCCCCCCCCCATGTCTCCACCCCACATGATCTCCAGCTGCTTGCCAGTTCTGGTTTGTTATCTTGGCGAGGCACTGCTGGTGGGACTGTCTGGTAGATACAATATTCCTGCTTTAAAGCAAGGTACTGCAGTGACTGCTGAAGTGACCTAGTGGGCTGCAGTTGCTAACAATGCAATCCCAAACAATGACTTCAATTGACTTAGAAAGCTCTAACTATGTTTAGGATTGCACCATTAGCACTGGACTTGGATTTGTTGAGAGCGACCACAGTTTCCAGGTGAAGTTTCCCTTTCCTCCTCCCCCAGCTCACCCCACCAGATGTACCAAGGTAAAGGTAAAGGTAAAGGTTCCCTTGCTCGAAAGCCAGTCGAATCCGACTCTAGGGTTGCGGTGCTCATCTCCGTTTCAAAGCCGAAGAGCCAGCGCTGTCCGAAGATGTTTCCGTGGTCATGTGGCCGGCATGACTAAACACCAAGGTGCACGGAACGCTGTTACCTTCCCACCAAAGTGGTACCTATTTATCTACTTGCAATTTCTTGCTTTCGAACTGCTAGGTTGGCAGGAGCTGGAACTAGAGATGGGAGCTCACTCCATCATGCGGCACCTGGGTCCCGAACTGCTGAACTACTGACCTTCCACAGCCTGCAGTTCAGCGTCTTAACCACTTGAGCCACCGCAGCTCCATAGATGTACCAAACATCATATGAAAACAAATCACGTGACTTGCCTGACTCCATTCCCCCCACAGTAATAGAATTCCCTCCCTAGTCCTCCCATCTCAGCAATCCTGGTAGGGTTTTCCACCTCCAGGTGGAGCCTGGAGATATCCTGGAATTACAACTGATCCCCACACTACCAAGATCAGTTCCCCTGGAGAAAGCAGCTGCTTTGGTGGGTGGACTTTATGGCATTATACCCTACTGAGATCCCTCTCCTCCCTAAACTCTTCTCTATCCAGGCTCCATCCCAAATTGTGAAGAATTTCACACCCCGTAATCGGCAACCCTAGAGAGATACCTGCTCAGCAGTGATTTCTTGGCTAGAGCTAATCATTTTTTTCTCACCCTAACCTATCAGACAGAGTTGCTGTAAAGAGAAAATGGAAAATGAAATGTGTCCTGTCCTGAACAGCCTAGAGGAAAGCTCGGATAGGGGTGGAATTCAAGCTAGGCAAGGGCAGGCCCAGTTTACCTAGTTATTTTAAATAACAGAGTCAGGCTACATAGCTATTATTATCTCACAGTGTCACTGAACCTTTTACTTGTGATAAGTTCTAGTATTTCAATTTTTGTCTGTATTAGCTGAACACAGAACTCCCCAACAGGATCCCTACGGGCTCCACAGTGCCCACTGACACCTTTCCTGGCACCTGGCAAGCGTTCTTAGAAAATGGGTGGGGCCAGTGCAGTTTTAGTCCAGCAGGGATTGTGATTGGCCATTAGAGATCTGATTGGCTGTGCAGAGGGGGGTTTTTTTAATTGTTTTGGTAGCAGCTGCCTTGAAAACCCTATGGGGTCACCATAAGTTAGCTGCAACTTGACAGCCCTTTACACACACGCATAACCTCACTCCCTGGCATTGTGTAGTTGGCTCCTCCTTCCATGGCAGTCATTTTGTCATTGACTCCACCTCCTGTGCCAGCTGTTTTGTGGTCATGCCCACCAACCTGTGTCAGAATACCAAAGGTACCTGTAGGCTCAAAAAGGTTGGGAACACAAGACAATTAAAAAACAAGCAAACAAGAACACTAAATTTCAGGTTTCGAAAGAAATTAATCCAAAGGGTCTTGTTTTGTGTATCTGGCCCTAGCCTGGCTTATGGCAGATTTATAGCTATGGGTTCAGATAACCTCTTGAGTAAGAATTCCATCCTTCGATCTAAATACAATGAATAGTCGGGGAGCACCTGATACAGCAACCTTGCTGAAGCTAAGAAAGTGAAGTCTGCTCAGCACCTCACTGGGAGATCATTGGGAGACCATGGAAGACACTGAATTTTGCAAAGTACATACTGGATATAAATAAATACAAAAGAATACAATTTTTCTCTCTTCCCGTTCTCTGATGCTGTAATTTTAAAAATACATACTTATACTGAATGTATCTAGCAAAAGATCATGCCCCACAGATGCTAACCACAAGTGACACTTATGGGAAGGGATATGGTTATCTTAATGACTTGCAGAAATGTTGTAATTCCCCTTAAAACAAAACAAAACAAAAATGGCTGAGAGAAGAAAAACTTTGAAAGTTCTGATGCCCTTGCAGTTCTTGCTGAGCCACTCTGCAGAGAGAGGAGGAAACCACTTCTCACAGGCCACTAACCAATACCAATGCAAGAGTCAGAACATGTGAGGAACTACTTTGAGGAAGCCAAAACATCAGCGGTGCATTACATGAAAGAGCCGAGTGAAGTACATACAGAGCTGCAGAGAGAAAGATGGAGAATCCACTGCTTTTATCCCCCCAGCTCAATGCTTCTTCACGGATGAAATTATTATATAAAAGCATGAAACCCTTCAGCAAAGATGGGGCAAAGACGGAAGCAAAAAACGGGTAAGCATTGCTGAATGTGGTGTAGCAAAGGGGCGGATCAGAGTGCACAGTGAAGCTGTGGGGCTCTCTCGTGAGAGTTTATTATTAAATTTCAGGTTTTTTGGGGGGAATTAATCAAAAGGTTCTTGTTTTGTTTAAAGCCCCATTTGTGTCTTAAATAGGACCCCTCCCCCCCCCAATATCTGAGGCCCAATCCACTTCTTTGTGCTGACTTTAATTTGCTTTGTGGCTGGAGGCATTGTTATCATCATCAGAATTGTAGTTTTTTATTATTATTCCCTTCTTCCAAGATCCTTAGGATGGTGTACATGGTTTCTCCATCCCCATTTTATCCTCACAATAATTCTGTGAAGTAGGTTAGGAAGCACCTTGCAAGTTACGGCTGGGTCCAGGTGAGTAAGGAAGGTTACGCATATTGAGGTTAACTGGTGTAGTTAGTCCAGTCACCATTAGTTATCAGAGTGCTTAAATAAAGCTACAAATGCAGCAGTGTCACTTTACCAGGTTACTCAGCTTACAAAGCTACACAGAGTCACATTGCAAGTTTAGAAGAGAAACACTTCTCTCTTTATTTGAGAAGTACACTTTGGATAAGAAAGTGTAGAGATATGATAGAGTACTGACTTACTAGCTAAAGAATGGAAGCAGATGGTGAGAGGCCCATCTGTCTCATGGTGCATGCAGGCAGAGAGCTTGTCTTCATCAGAGCGAGAGAGAAGAAGGAGGGGGAAATGATTCCTGAGAACACAATCTGCATTTTAAAGTCAACAGTGGCAGAAGAGTATTTGCTTTGTGGCTGGAGGCATTGTTATCTTCATCAGAATTGCTGTTTTTTATTATTCTTCCCTTCTTCCAAGAGCCTTAGGATGGTGTACACGGTTTCCCCATCCCCATTTTATACTCACAATAACCCTGTGAAGTAGGTTAGGAGGCACCTTGCAAGTTACGGCTGGGTCCAGGTGAGTAAGGAAGGTGAAGCATATTGAGGTTAACCGGTGTAGTTAGTCCAGTCACCATTAGTTATCAGAGTGCTTAAATAAAGCTACAAATGCAGCAGCGTCACTTTACCAGGTTACTCAGCTTACAAAGCTACACAGAGTCACATTGCAAGTTTAGAAGAGAAACACTTCTCTCTTTATTTGAGAAGTACACTTTGGATAAGAAAGTGTAGAGATATGATAGAGTACTGACTTACTAGCTAAAGAATGGAAGCAGATGGTGAGAGGCCCATCTGTCTCATGGTGCATGCAGGCAGAGAGCTTGTCTTCATCAGAGCGAGAGAGAAGAAGGCAGGGGAAATGATCCCTGAGAACACAATCTGCATTTTAAAGTCAACAGTGGCAGAAGAGTAAGGACAGGGGGAAAGGTCAGCTATCTACTCTCTCTTGCTACTTGGTCTGGAGGTCTGAGACAGGGGACATTGCATCTGGAACTTCCAACAAAGCATTCCATTGACCCTGGTGCCTACACACTCCCTTCTCTGGCCCCTGCAGTTGAATCCCTTGGGGAGTAATGATCTCATTTGGTTTTGATTTTTACATAGCCTTTATTTAACTCCTGTAAAATCTCCAAAATAGTTTCTTTGCTACTTTGTAGTTGTAAAAATAATAAAGAAGCCTACAGTGCCTTAAAAGCTGACATCCATTTTGTCAAGTGCATCCAGCAGTTTGGAAAGTGTGTGTGTGTGTGTGTGTGTGTGTGTGTGTGTGTGTGTGTGTGAGAGAGAGAGAGAGAGAGAGAGAGAGAGAGAGAGAGAAGAGAGAGAGAGAGAACAAATATATAAAGACATATGGGTCCAGACTTTTTTTTTTTTTTTTAAGTCCACATTAGGGAACATTTCAATAGAACTTAACTGGACCAAACAATGTGCCAGCTCTGAGCAAGAAATATTCATTCAACATGGCTACAAATTATTTTTTTAAATTCATGTGCAAGATATAAATGTTGCTTTAGCCAGAAAATGCTTTTAAAGTGGTTTACAAGAAATAGAGGCTGTAAAACTATCAAAAGGAAACAAACAGGCTAACCGCCATTTTTAATACTTTTACAACATTATTAAAATAGCCACATCAGGTTTCAAAACAGATTTAGCCAAATAGGCAACAATCTAAAATGTAGGCAGAATAAAGTGTCTTTACCTTCTTCCAGAAAGAAAAGAGTGGAGGAGACATGATGAGGGGAACTAGTTCTGTAATGTCAGTGTGTTATTTTGGAACTGTCTGCCTACCAGTTAAGATCCTCTTCCAGGTCCTGCCTTCTATGCCCTTGTCTGCAAGATATCAGACAGGTGGCAACAAGAGACTGGACTTTTTCAGTGGTGGAACCTCACCTCTGGAAAGCTCCCCCCCCCCCTTGAGGCTCATTTGGCACCAACCTTACTGTTCTTTAGCCACGAAGCCAATTTATTTTTATCAAGGCTTTTAACTGAGGGGTTCCATCTTTACTCAGCTACTAGGAATAAGGCCCATTATGGAAATAAATACAACGAGATCTAGAAAGAGGCTCTGGGAGAGTGCTCCGGCTTTGGGCAAACAGTGTCAATTTGCTGTGGCGACCTCAGCAGGGTATAATGACAGAGTCCACTGTTTTCTCCAGAGGAACTGATCTCTGCTACCTGAAGAGCAGTTGTAATTTTGAGTGATTTCCAGCCCTCACCTAGAGATTGGCAACAATTGTTACCCAGGATGAAATGGCTGGTTTGGAGGGTGGAGTCTATGGCACTGTACCTGTCTGAGGTCCCCTCTCCGGGCTCCACCCCTCAAATCTCCAGGAATTTCCATACCTAAAGCTGGCAACTTTATCTCCTCCCCTCTCAGCAGCCTGTTTCTAGGCAAAATTCTGTCTTTCTCATTAGCGAGGAGCAAAGCAGCTTACTTCATTCTCTTCGGCTTTGCGATCTGTACAGCAACGCTGAAAGGTAGGTTAGGCAGAAAGTCT